TGCGCTGGCAACAGTAATCACTGAGGTAACATAAAACGGTTCTGTTTTTGGCGGGAGGGTGAGGGGGGTGGGGGGAGCATAGTATGTAGCCACCGGTGTTTATAAATTTTATTTACTTCGTTTAATTCTATTAGCGATAATGTTGCATCAACAAACCTGCGCTCTAACTCAACATTTATCCAAGTATCCAAGTTCTTGATACATTGGTATGTGGTGTTTAACGTCCCAAAATCACCATATGATTTTGAGAGGCGCCGTGGTGGAAGATTCTGGAAATTTCGACCACCTGGGGTTATTTAACGTGCACCCAAACGTGAGCACACGCCCCTACAGCATTTCCGCCTCCGTCGGAAATGCAGTCGCCGCAGCCGGGATTCGATCCCGTGACCTGCGAGTCAGCAGCCGAGTACCTTAGCCACTAGACCACCGCGGCGGGGCAAGTACGCAAGTTCTAGATGAAGAAGTTAGCTTCGGCGCGCTCTTAGTACTCGCAGTGTTTATGTGAACATCCTGTTACGAAAGCGAATATGACTTGAGAATTTCACAAGAAAGCTTGTTGCTCGAATTATTCTTGTGTGATGTTGGGGTGCATTGCGTCCATTATTTTCATTGGCAAAATACTAGAATACTAGAACGTGAGAATCGTTTCCATCTGGTCTAGTTGGTGATACTGCTTGTCCTATGATTGCAGCTAAATTTAAATGTACACACGAAGGAAAGAAACACGAGGACAGTGCCGGCACTAACTGGCGTGTATTGAAACCTTTCGCTGAATCCATATAAGGTGCGGCATTGTGTGTAATTTTTGTCAACGTGCTTCTATATGCAGATTGCCGGGCTTATATAATTATTGTAGGGTTTCAACAAGCGTCAATTGGTAATGTCGGCACTGTGCTTGTGATTCTTTCTTTTGTTGATGCGTTTAAATTTAGCTGCAACCATTCAACATACTAGAATAAGAACCACCGTGTGAAAATTCTACAAATAAAGCCGGACGTAATAGTGGCTAATGCACTCGGCTGCTGACTCGCAGGTTGTGGGAACGAATCGTGGCCGCGGTGGCTGCATTTCCGTTGGAGGCGGAAATGTTGCAGGCCCGTGTGCTCAGATCTGGGTGCACGTTAAAGAACCCCAGGTGGTCGAAATTTCCGAAGCCCTCCACTACAGCGTCTCTCATAACCATATGGTAGTTTTGTGACGTTGAACACCAATACTTATTAATGCTCAAGGAAAAAATTTCATGCTTTCCCTGTTTATTTTCTTTTTCTCTTTTTTTCTTTTTGCGTTGGCTTATGGAGAACTAAGCTTCATACTTTGAAGAGCTACGTCATCAAAGAGAGCAGCTGCGCTGCTAAGCTAGAGTCGTCATGCCGTCTCATATATTTTGTTATTTGTGACGTCAAGATGGAGGCGTGCGACAGCGTTATCGGGTGATAACGAATTTTTTCATGATTCATATTGATTCACCGGTGGCACCGGTGTTCAATTTTTTTGTTTTAAAAGCCATCTAAGGCTCTCGCCTTTAAAATGTGAACTTATTAAAATTAGACGAGTGGCCTCCACATCGGCGCTTTTGACGATGATATCATTATATTAGCATATGAAATGCCAAAAATATACTGTTTTTATCGTGTTTTAAACAACAGAAACAACATGGTTGCCATAAACATCAGACGCGATTCAAACAAATGAGCGTAATAATACGGTGAATACGGTGTTACATCGGTTACTGTAACAGTCAACCCACATATACTTTTAACCTGGAAAACGTGACGTCACACTTCATTAAAGGCCAGCTTATTATTCTTTCTGCTTTTATCCTTCCCATGAAAGGTAAATTGGTACGAGCGAATGGTGTACCAGGACACTTTAAGAAAAAAAAACATGGGCGAGCGCTACCTACATATATTTCATCTTCGGTCTGTTGTACTGCATCCTAGCCTACGATTGAACAGAACTAACCACATCGACGGGCAAAATAGCCTTCTGCACAAGCTCCGTAAGCCTGAGCCATTTCGTCTCCTCCGCCAAGCTTCGTTGTATAAATATTACTGGATGATCCTCTCTACATCTTATCCCCGTCGCCTAAAACCAACAATGCCCCGCCGCGGTGGTCTAATCGGTAAGGTACTCAGCTGCTGAGCCGCAGGTCGCGGGAACGAATCCCGACTGCAGCGGCTGCATTTCTAATGGGGGCGGAAATGTTGTAGGCCCCTGTGCTCAGATTTGGGTGCACGTTAAAGAACCCCAGGTGGTCGCAATTTCCAGAGCCCTCCACTACGGCGTCTATCATAATCATATGGCGTTTTTGGGACGTTAAACTTCTCATATCGATCAATCAATCAATCTAGAACGAATAAACAATTCGAATAAAAAATATCTCTTGTAAAGCGTGCTTTGCGCATAACACAACGCAGTTAGAAGAAGCAAAACTTTCACTCTGAAAAATTGTAGACGTTGGTTACTGTAAAGCGTGCTTTGTGCTTAGCGCAATGCCACTAGAAAAAGCCACAGCAAAGCACCACAAAGTTAGGTGCCAATCAAACTTGAAAACTAACGTCAGGGTCAGGTTATTGAAGCATTCAATAGTGCACAACGGCACACGCTTCGCCCTCCACGCGTACTTGTCACGTTAATTCAGTACACTAAGTTTCCCCACAGGAGGACGAAAGAAAAAATTACGAGTCGTTACTCTTGAGAGTGGTTATGTCTGGGCAAAACGAAATACTCTCTGGTGAAACGCTAACAGTGATAACAGCGTCATCAGATAACATTCCACTCAGCAACCTAATGCTCCCACCTTGTGCTTCTGATGCGCAAAGTCAGGCTAACACACTGTCTGGCTCACGTTGCCTAAATATTTTCATCATCAATGTTTCCTTCAGTAGGATTCATTTGTTCTGTGCAGTGCTGTTATTAACGCGACAGCGTTAAGAGATTGTTTCGCCGAAATTTTGTTGTTGGCGTTGCTGTCGGCGTTTTAGGTAGTGAGCGAAAAATCGTGATGAATGCAAATAATAATAAAATTATTTACGTAACTGTGAGACTGTGTACCAGTAACTACTACTATTCGGCTGGACGAGACTGGTGAATCACGATTCTCGTCGGTACAACAGTTCCTTCGCACTCACGCAGCAGTCGAAGAATAATAAGAGGGCTTGACAGGCTTCGCAGACGTCGAGAAAAATAGGGGGTGACCGTGGGAGTAAAACAGCCATGGCTCTTTAGTTCCGAGCCGCCGGTTCGCATCAGAGCCGATCACCCCAGGCTCTCCCCTTATGTGTGGGCTTTCCCGACCAACATCGCAATCCGAAGACCCTTCATAGTCTGCCTCGCTGGATGTTTTTTTTTTTTCTGTTATCTAATCTCTTTAGTCTGTCACTGTCTCTCTCTCTCTCTCTCTCTCTCTCTCTCTCTCTCTCTCTCTCTCTCTCTCTCTCTCTCTCTCTCTCTCTCTCTCTCTTTCTATTTCTCTCTCTATCTCTCTCTCTTTCTCTCTCTCTCTCTCATCTTATCGCATTGTGGGCAAATACTTATATATTTAACTTACAATCAGCATTTTTAAGCAAAACTGAATAAAAGCTGAACAGTGTGTTAAACATACCGAATGAAACGTTCAGTAATCTTCGAGTCTTTCTGCAATGAAAAACATTTTTTCACACGTTAAAGTGTCTCTGTAATGTTTCTCCGAGTAATTATTGAACAAACGCGTTATCGGGGTTTATTACTCCACAAAATTTACTTATGCAACTGTTTTATAATACTTCAAGTACGAGCCTAGTTGAAAATTTGTTGCATGATCTATCTATCTATCTATCTATCTATCTATCTATCTATCTATCTATCTATCTATCTATCTCAGTCTGTCTGTCTGTCTGTCTGTCTGTATGTCTGTCTGTCTGTCTGTCTGTCCGTCTATCTATCTATCTATCTATCTATCTGTCTATCTATCTGTCTGTCTGTCTGTCTGTCTGTCTGTCTGTCTGTCTCTCTGTCTGTCTGTCTGTCCGTCTGTCTGTCCGTCTGTCTGTCCTTTTCTCTTACTCTCTGGAAATCCACTTCACATACACTTCAAACATGTATTCATTGTCGTTCCTTCCCTTCTTCGCTTCTCTCCTAATGTTTTTCTACGCGTATCAACACAAAGACGTGAGCGCATAATGCTGCCACTTAGTTTTTCTTATGTCTTCGCTTTTCTGTTTTTTTTGTTCTTTTGCTTTTATTCCCCGCCAGACGGTGGCACCAACGCGGTCCTTCGCGTGATTGTGCTCCCATCAATGTCGTCTGCTCTCCCCGACCTGGATCTGGCATTGCAGACGATTCCTTTTCTTTTCTTTGCCGCCTGCTTACCAAGAGGAACTGAACTCGTGTCCGATCTCGTCATTATTGCACCTCCCAGCCCTCGCTTTCTCCCTTCTTCTTCCTCATCTTCATCTATATAGCCCTGAGCCCATTCTTGTTTTCTTATTTCCACACCGGCTGCTCCGTTCCGCCGGCTACTTGACGCTAATAGCTGCCGACTGAGCGCCGACGCGAACACTCTTGGCTCCCGAACCGTACATGGTGGCCGATGGTACTTAAGCGCGCCGTTTTTCTTTTTATATTAATCTGTGGGTAACCGTGACGAGGTGTGCACCAAGCCGTAGTTTCGAAAGATTGCCTTATAGCCTGGCTATACGCGTGCACTTTTTCAAAATTCAGCGACAAGGGGATACGAAACGACGTATACGATATGCGTGGCTGGCCTTTCGCGTTTTCGTGTCGTCTGTTCTTTGTATCGTCTGCTTTTAGCATTGTTTGCAGGTCATAGAGTTACACAAGCACATATAGTGTCGTTAGTTACGTTGTTTAATCATCTCACGCTTATTTATAAAGCCGACTACATTACAACCGGCTGTTTCAGTACATGGTTACAAAGTTTAGGCCGCCTATTTCAACTATGGCTGTCTGCTAATATAAGTTACAGCCACATTGTCTTTACCTAAACTCTTTCGATGCAGAGAGTCCAAGGTGACGCAGCTGCTGAAAGAAGCCCTGGGAAGTGTCACGTGTCGGGCCGCCATGATAGCCCACGTGTCTCCACTGTCGGCTAACTACGCCGAGACGCTGGCCACGATACAGCTCGCGTCCAGGATGCACCGCATGAGACGCAAGAAGCTCAAGGTACGACACTCCCATCTGTCGTATTGCAAGAGTGTGCTACGTGTACCTACGCCATGTTCACTGAAACACCTCATTAACGGAGTATTGACACGATTTCGAGACATCGCTAAGCAGACATTTTTCTTCTTCTTTTTGTATGCAGTGTTAGCTCTCTCCACACACCAAAGTCGTAAAATAGGCGCAAAGTATTTCACATTGTTCTTTTAAGTTTTTATCGCTTAGCATCTGCCAGCCAGCCAACAAATCAACACGGTTCCACTGAGTTTGCGAACTCTGCCTCCTGCGTGGGGCCTAAATCATAGCGTTTTCCAACGTACACCAGAAGGAACTCTGGCGCAAGTGTCTATGGGAACTGCAACGCACGGTGCTTCAGCGAGCATAAAAATGAAGGGTAGTACACAGATTTGTCTAATCTTTGTACTTCTGGCCTGCTTCTGGCTCCATATGTGTTCGTGTAGCTTGGAGCTGTTTTCTCACGAAACAAAAATCAGCAAGTGTTCAGTGGTTGCGCTTCGTCACCTTATTCTTTTTTAGGCTTATCATTTCAAATCGGGTCAAGAAATTGAAAAGGATCCGTTCTTTCTTTCAAAACGAAACCGAAAACGGCAACAAACGAAGCCGCAAATGCGATTCACCGCCCGCAAGTACGAAGACTAGGCAAATATGTGTACTACCCATCATTCCCGTCGTCGCTGAACGATCGCACCGCCAGAGTTCCCTCTAGTTAATTTTAGGAAACTATATGGTTTAACTAATGGAATTCACTGTCGGGGTCACTGGTCGACAAATCACTCATCGTTTGCGTGCATTTCGAACATATTGCAAACCTGCACTAGTAAGTCACGAGCCATGATGTCGCACTGCAATGACACGTCACTGAAGAAACCTGCCCCTTAATGTCGAAACAGAAAGTGTTTTTTAAGTAGCGGAATTAAAATGTATCTGATGCATTCAAACGCACCACAGAACTCTCTTTAGAAATCTTGGCCCCAGTACTTTTATTTAGAGCAACAATTTGTAAATGCTTAAGATTTGTGTCAGCACTCTACTGAGGTTGTTTCAGAATCCCCTTAACACTTGTTCACAAGGGTCACATCGATGCAGATGCATTTGTGCACCGTAATACTCGCATTATAACAGGAACTTCAGCAATTATTATACGATTGTTATTCGTTATTCTGTTGGCTTCACTGTAGATCAGGTTTGAAAACTTTCTTTAAATACGACAGACTTATTAGGATATTTCAACGCAAAAGAATGGTCTGTCTGTCAACCGCAAATGCTGAAGTTCAACCACTTCCTCAGCGCCTACCAATCTTTATCTGGTTTCTGCGTTTATACTTGTGCGCGGTATCAATTATAAAGCAAATATTGCGCATAGCTGAAGCACAATATCCACACTTCAATATTCTGTGATGTTTCTTTATACCAGAAAAGTCATACATAAGTAATTATAAAGACCATAGCATTTGTTACGCCGCACCGTCAATGCTACGCTATACACGAAAAGGCGAGTGCTTTCTACGCCTTGCTAAGATGATATGTTGCTGCCTACCCGTGGCCATGCACTCTACAAAGTATGGCATCCAAGATTGTGCGCGCATGACACACGCTCGCTATATTGGAGGCCATCCTTTCGTTTCGAAGATTACTGTCAGATGGAAATCATGTCTCACGCGGCATCTCCAGAATCCCATTCACCGATTTTGTAGCGCGGAACATCACATAAACGTTTTGTTCACTCTCTCCAGACGCAAGACTAATGTCTATGGATGACATTTGCAGTGAAACATGCAGATATGGGGTCATTTTTTCAATCGAGGTGCCAGCCACCGCGATCTACTACGTAGTCTCGTGATTCGCCCTCTCTAAGGCACGAAATATCTGGTTTTGTTCCTTTCTGTGGAACTGTACCACTACCAATAAACTGAAATCTGTGCTGTAAAGTTATCCTGAACTGTATATGTCGCAAGCTTTCATAGTTTTTAATGGTCTGAGCTCATTGTAAAGCTCTATGAAGTGGTTTCAGAAAGGGAGAGAGAAATACAGTGGGACCATGAGGGCACAGGATCCTTCCTGTCCTGCCCTGCGTTGGTCCTGTCCTTCATAAATAATAATAATAATAATAATAATAATAATAATAATAATAATAATAATAATAATAATAATAATAATAATAATAATACGTCACGAGCCAGCACCATGATATGAATCTTAAGTCCGTCGTAACGGAGCGCTCCGGATCTTTCGACCACCTGTAGTTTCTTAAAGGGGCCCTGACCACTTTTTGAGCATGATGAGAAAACGTAGCCGATTGGTGGTCGAGGCTCCCAAGAACACGCGTGTGAAATATTATAGCGCAGAACGTGGCCTCAATTAAGTAATTATTTCTCAAACTCAGTTAAAACTCAATCTCTTCTGTCAACAAATGATGCTACAGGCACAAAACCACTGCTTCCAAAGCTTAGTATCAGCGATTGGCAGATTTGAGCAAGGCACGCTCGGTCATTGCTGGGGCTACCACGTGAGGCCACGACTTGTCCACGGGTGCGCGCGCAATCACATCAATAATTCGCGCTTCAGAAGAAAGAAGTGTTCAAGGTCACGGTGCGTGCGTGACGTATTTTCTTTCCCCGTGCCATCGCTCCCTGCTTAGCTTCCAGTGCTTTTGTCAAGACGAGAGAGGAGAGAATGCAATTGCAGCGTACGAGAAATCTTTGTAAATCCCTTCGCTCGTACTGGACGGATTCTCGGTGGGTGAATTTTTGAAACAATAAGCTACTTTAGTGAATCTGTTCCACGGCTACTCGGGAACCGGTCGCAAGACCCCTTCAACGTGCCCCTCAATTTAAATACATGCGCCTCTAACATTGAGCATTTTATTGAGATGCGACTGCCGCTGCCAGGATCGAACCCGGAACTTTCGGGTTAGCAGCCGAGCACTGTAATAATTGTACCACCGTGACAGATTCACCTCCTCATTTGATTATGACCCGATAAGTTTGAAAATTATGAGCAAGAAATTTAATGTTCACCTGTAATCGCTTGCAACCTAGGAATAAATGTGAGCTTCGCCCTGCTGCCGTCGCTTAATGTTTAGAATAGATTGTGTACACGTTGAAGCACTGTACTCACTCTACCATGGGAGAGCCATAAGCTGTCCCAGTCGTTTTGTTTATAAAAAGTTAAGAATTTAGAGTGCTTGTTGCTCTACTATGGGACAGCAAAAAGCCAACCCGTGGCCCGTCTCCGATGATCAGTTTCTGCGAGGTGTGACACCTAGCTACATAGCGAATTTCAGGTGGGTGTTTTACCGCACAGTTAAATGTTTGTATCGCTGCTTTATTATTTTAAGAACTTGAAATTTCTTGCAAAATTTAGCAAGAATCGTGGCGTCACAAAGGGAAGTCTAATCTTTTAAGTAGAAACAACGAACTTTTGAATAATAATACTCGTATTTACATTATACCAGAAAAAGGTGCTTAATATCGCAATGGAAAACTGCCATCCCGACCCCCTTGCCGAATTTCTGCGGGGTGCGGAGCTCGCGTTTATTCTTGTGTTGTAACCGACCATAAGAGATTCGCTTAATTTCCCAGTACGGATCAACCATGGCGAGCGCCGCGGCAGACGGCGTCGAAGGCGTCTGCCGGCCTTTCATGCGGACCCAGGCGCTGAACGAGGAAGGCTCGGGCCCGCGGTCCGGCAGCTCAGACCCGGAGTACACGTCCAGCAGCGAGCAGTCGTGCGACACGGTCATCTACGTGGGCCGGCACCAGGACTTCACGGACAACGAAGGCCCACCGCCGGCGCTCGAAGCGGTCCTCTCGGCTCCCACGCCTCAGAACTCGCCGGCGAGGACGGTGACGTCAAAACCTGCCGAGTCCCCGTCGCGACACGGCGGAAGCAGCAGTGCCTTAGGACCGGCGGCCATCACCAGGACGGATGCGCCCACACCTTCAAAGGTTGGCGTCGGTCCCCGTTGCCTAAAAAGTTTGTTAATTAGTCCTTTTCACAGAGTGTGTCGGCATATTATTAGGCTCTGACTAGAGTAACCCAGGGGGTCGTGACGTGGCCGAAGACAGGAGACTTCGTGTTGGGATTTAACTGTTTATTTGGGCGAACCTGTGCCCGGTAAACGGAAAGTCCAATTACAGCAGCAGTCTCGCACAGATAGCAGTCTCGGACTGATAGCGGCGAACGGAGCGTCGGCCTTCGATCAACAACTGACAAGCGGCCGGAAGCGCGTCGGCATTTATACTCTTGCCGTCGAATGTTCTAGCGTTATCGCTGGCGGGGGCGTAGGTTCCAGAACAATCTGTACCGTTCGCACAGTGGGCGTGATCTTATCGAAATGATCTACTACAGTCCGGAATCTTCTCGAAAACTGCAGGCGCTGTTTGCGCTGAGAATCGTGTGGTGTTTTGGGACGATAACAAAAACTTGGGAAATGGAACGTGGCATTGTACCTGATATGTTGGTCCGTAAGAATCGCTTCGTAGCTGAGCACTCTGCCTTTCCCTTCTTGTCTATTTACGTGCTCTAAATACCACTATGTTTGCAGTACAAACTCGTCCGAATTTCAGTGCTTTTATAAAGGATATATTAAACACGCGTTTGAAAACAATCCGTGGCCATCAGAAAACAATCGGAGCAGCTGCGCACTAGCGAAACGAAGACTGTGGAAACAGTTAAGCTGATGCTTCCCCTCCTCCTTTCGCTTTAACACACTCACTTATGTTTTGCTGCTGTACTATACTGCACAAGACTACGTTATGTTTTAGCTTGTCGCCTCCTCCTCAACCTAGCATCACTTCGCTTTCACACCCCCTTGCTAAACTGTATGGTACAAGGCCGTGCTATTACAGCAAATAGCTGTAATAAGATCAATACTCGCGGCACGCGTGCCGTAGTTGTCCGCCGCCGCCGCTGGTGTCCGTAACTACCCCGCTCGATATTAGAAAAGAAAACTAGCCCCAATGACACAGTGGGGCTCGAACCCGGGTCCACTGAGTGCCAGCTCAGTATTCTACCACTGAGCCTCGCCGGTGCTCGGGACTTGGCAACCCTGTCTCATGCAGGCTTGATGTCGGGAAACCAATCGCGTTAATACGACTTATAAAGCGTTTTAAAACAGCGAAAGAACAACCAGTCGCACATTGCGAACAGCGTAACGAGGGAGTCGTCCAACGCTCCGACCCATTACAACAGCTGGTTCTTGTTCACCTGTTAACTGTGGCGCATACCCACTTCAGGCCTAATTTCTCATAGTCGTCAGCCACTGCATGAACAATCGGCACAAAATTCCTTGCAAGTATTTGCGGATATACCACGCCTCTCAGAAGAGTGACGAAAAAAAGCATAGCGAATGCCGGCCTACTAGCCAAAAATTTTTTATTATTAATGCCGTAGAGGCCATCAAGCAAGTGTGCTTGAAGCAGTTAGCACACTGAGTGTTCGGAAAAGGCTCTGAAAGGTCGCTCTTCTAGCTTTCGCTGTGACTGCTGCTGCGCCTTCCGCGCAAGCCTGGCGTTTTTATTCCCTCTACCCCCCCCCCCTTTTTTTTTCGTTCTGCTCACATCGCTCCTTCGTGCTTACTTCCCTTTCGCAACCCTCGCTGTACTATACATGGCTACGCTATGCTTCATCCACTTCCTTCCTCCACTCACTTCCCCTCACATCACACCTCCTCACTCGTCCTTCTCTTTCCCACCTCCTTGCAGTACTAAACTATGTTCATTTCTTGGCGTTTCATAGCCTTGGCATAGTTTGGCTGGCTTCACCATCTCTTTATGTGAATTTTCCCCATTCAAACAGTTGATGCGGGACTGACAACGGTGTTTCGCTGAGCTTTCGCGCCACTGTAAAACATACATGCAGCTGCTACCTTGATTTCTATCACTGTCTCTCACTTCTCGTTTTCTCCCAGAGCGGCGCAACCAATCGCGACGCCTGCTCGTCTCCCAGCGCCGCTGAGAGCCACGGCAAGGCACATCACTACGCTAAAGAAGAGCCACCGCGGCACCGGTGGCTCCAATGCCCCCACCAAGGACCCACCTGTGACGTCAGCTTCGACAGCGAGCCACGACGCAGCCGGTGGCTCTCGGCGCGCTAGCGACGAGCTCTGGATCGACGGTCCTCGCTTCTCGAAGCCACGCTTCGACTCGCGCACCCTGGACCAGCTGCAGAAGGAGCAGTGGGTGGACGGACCCGCGGTGGCAGGCCGCCGTGTACGGATACATGGACGACCACAAGAAGAACATGGTCGAACGCTGGGTGCAGGAACACTCACGCTACGCTCAGGGACACAAGGGCGCCAAGAAGCACCGGCCGGCAGTCGGCCAACAGGACCGGTACGTGTAAAAGCGCACGTGTCTGGGCTTGTCAAGCACATTGGCCTCCGTTGACATGAACAGTGGCGGAAAAGACGCATCCGCTAAAAATTGTTTCCATAATACTCTGTTCGCAGATGCTTCGGTGACTGATTTTGGAGATGATGACATAGCGTGTTAGAACTTCGGTCACATATACGAATGCTCCTTATAAGTCTCATCGCTACGCGTATTTTTATACGCTGATCGTCATCTTCGTTACATGCTGCTATTGTCTTTCATAACCTCACACTACACGCATTCAATATCGACTCGTTGAATTCCGCGCCTACGATCAATCGTTACTATGCGACCCAATCGTTTTGATTTTACGACAGTGTTGTTTTAAGCCTTTTACTGTGCAGTTTAGTTTGAAAATAGAAAAAGTGTTTTCTTTAGAATTAGCATATCTTAGAACGCCGCGTTGTAAGGGGAGGCCAGCCGCTGTACACAAGAACCTGCTTCGCTTACTATATACATCACAGCATTCATTCTATTCATTACAGAGACCGAGCCAAGTCCTAAGTCCACTCCGGAGCACAGAAAGACGAGGACGCACCACGAGCACCACTCGAAGAGGAGGACCTCACCGGAGAGGTGTCACGTCAATGGAGGATGCTCCAGGGAACAACATCATGAGCGTAAAACCGCACACGACACTTTCTCTTCGGAGCAGCAGCAGCACGCTCCAAAGTCGGTTAAGTGCGCTCCCGCCAAGAGAGACCAAGGCCAGAACACCTCGGCCACGACGGCGACGCGCGAAGAAGTCGCCCCGTGCCACGACGTCCACATGACGCCAGCCGAAGAGGAACAGCCTGAATCACCGGTACATATGCAGGACTGCTGCTTGCAGGTCACTGAGGAAGACATCCTCGCCGCGACGTCTGGCTGGCCTGCGACGAACGACGAGAACCCGCTGCCCGAGGTGGACCAGGGAAGCAGCAAGAACGGAGCCGGCAGTGGAAGTCAGGGAAGCCACCCGCTCCGCGTCCTGAGCGACGATGGCCTCAACCTGCCTTCCTCCTTCACAGACTCGAGGTCCGTAAGCGTGGACCTGAACCACGTCGTCGGCGACGACGCCGAGATATTGGGACACGTTTACGGGGGCCTGACCTGGAAGCTCCTTCAGGGCACCCTTCTGCAACGTCGTCGCGAGCGGCACCAGAGGCTCTACGGGGACGACTTGAGTGTCGGAGTCAAGGGAGATGTCCTCACCGAGAAGCTGGAGCGCATCGCCCGGCTGAGAAAGTTGACGTCACCGTATTTCGACAACAACAATGAGCGTATACCATCCCTGCTCATAATGCGCAGCGGTACGTCCAGCCCCACGGGAGGCCGGTACGGCAGCTTGCCAAACCGCAAGCAGCGCAAGGACCTGTGCGACGACCACGATGGCTCAACGGACGATGGCAGCAACAGTGACTGCGCGGACGTCACGAGCACCAAAAGCGAACCAGCTGACCTGGATGCTGCGGACAGGTACGACATCCAGAGGCTTAACATTAAGCCCATGAACGGCCTCAAGCTGGAGGCCTTCTACAACCGAATCCAAAAATCAAACTCCTCCCTCGCCGAAAGCCAGGACCTGTCACCGCCTAAGCTATCACCTCAGGGTGACACCCTTTTCCAGTCGTACTCGGAGAAGCTCGATCTCCTGGCCAAGGACTTCGGCGTGTTTCCGGGTGCGCATGATCCTCCGGTAATAGACGTCCAACCTCACAGACTATTCCCATTGCTGAACGCGAGCAGTGAGCCTGACGGGCTTTCAGCTAATCACAGAGTTCCTCCTCAAGGCACAGAAGCTCCACCGCCAGATTCCTCCCCTCCAGAGGCTTCGGGGGACTGTGTTTCGCCGGCTGCCTGCTCCTTCGCCAGGCAGCCAAGGCGGCTAAGCAGCGGAGGGCCGAGCGAAGATGTCGCCGCCAGGTTGGCACAGAACGGCGATTACGTGGAGAAGTCGACCTCTAAACCTAACAGGGTACTCGCCAATGGCACCCGTACGGGTTCCTCGACGCAACAACACGTAAAACAGGAGCAACACTCGTCACCCAAAGAGAGTCATCGCGTCGGGCTCGAAACCACAACGTAAACTCAGCTCAGGAAGTGTTCCTATGCCGGGAGCGGCTGTTACCTTGGCGCACAAGATTCACATGTCGCCATCGAGAGCCGGCCGCCAGCCCGACGAACAGCGCTTGTGGCACGCTCACTAGTTGCTGTAGCCCGACTAGGAGTCGAGCGAGCGCCAAGAACGGGCGAACTACGACGGCATCAGCGACACCGGCGGCCGTCATCACCAAGGCACCGTGCAGCAACGGCAAGCATTGCGACCCTGCAAGGCTAGCCAAGAAGCCGCCGCACAGCTAGCAAACTGTCGCCAGTGGGAGCCACCACTGCCCTTGATGGCGGTGACCCCACGAGTGCCACGAACAACCCACTCTGCCGGAGCGTGTCGACGCCTACGACTCCGTGCAGCGCGATAGACTCGAAGTCGGCGATCCAGAGGGCGGAGACGGTGGACTCGGGCGTGCTGCCGTCACCGTACGCTACGGTGACGCAGGCGAGGCCCACGATACGCAAGTCCAGCAGCGGACATGGCAGCAGTGACTCGAGCAGCTTCAAGGGCGTCATGAAGACGGTGCAGGTGGTGCAGTGCTCGGGCACGAGCAGCGGATACGAGAGCATCATTCTGCGTGACAGCACGCCGGCCTCCAGCCAGGACTCGGGCAGCGAGCGAGGCAACAAGGAGGCGCGGGGCCGCAAGGGTTCCCGCAAGATGGCGCAAGGTAACGCACAATGATCTGTCTCTTTCGTATTAGCCTCGAGCTTCTTAGGGAAGACTGTCTGATATTCCTTACTAAAATCACGCATGCTATTCGGTTGCATGTCTATACAAACAGTATTTTGAAAATGAAAAAAAAGTCAACGAAACCATCAAAATAACTATGAAGACTTTCCCGTAGGCCATGAGTGACCTGTCTTGAACCCTAAATTGAGTGTACTAGAATGATGTACACTCTGTTTAACACTTAGGGAAATCTCAGAGCGCATGGCATCGCCATGTGGCCAGTGCTGCCGTCGCACGCTGGCAGCAGCTCGCGCATGCGCAGACGCTTGAGGAGCATAGTATTGAACCGCATCGTCTGCAATGGTGGTGCGCGCTGACCACATTGTCGGGTAGCTTGCTGACTTTATCGTTGCTGCGGGAACTATGGCAATATTTTCTACTAAACGTTGGGCGATGCCAACCTTCCAGTCATTATTGGCGATGATTGAGTTCTAGCAGAGTTTGACAGCATACGTTGTTTGCACTTTCGAAACGGCGTGGTGCTGAGTACACTCACTTATTTTTTGTTCTTTGTTTGTGAACCGCAATACGCTTCGACGGGGAATACCATAATGGGCACGTACCATGCGTAGAATTTATTTCACGTTAAAAAAAAACGAAGCACTCTTCAGTGACTGCCCTGCAGCTATGCGGTTTCAACACATGTAATTCAACAAACTAGAACGCATTGAGAAAGGCAGTAGGCTATGATAATGATGTGAACGTGCTTCTTCTCGACGGCATTTGATTACTTGAGGTATCACTCACTCGCCGGCGCGGAAATGCACGCGTGGAGAGAGAGAGAAAGAGACGACTTTATTCATAAAGGCATGGAGAAGGAGTGTGTGGGAGGAACCCCTATTCCGTAGTCCCTAGGACGACTCCAGCGACGAGTCGGGTCCGCTGTGTCAGAGCTCGGGAAGACCTCGGGAGATCCATCGCGGAGAGCATCGTTCCACAGCCCCTCATTACGTAAAGGGTGAAGGAAAGCAGGTGAGGGACCAACTTCACTTAATACCCTGTCATGTCCCCAGCGGCCACGATAACGGCGCTCATTTTGGACGGCAGTGGTGCGTACTGTGACACGATGAGAAATATGAGCCCAGTTCCCGTAGCAACGAAGAAATTCGCCTGCTGCCGGACAATTCGGCCAGCGCGCACTTCCGTAGCCGACGACGCGGTTCAAGAAAATGCCTCTCAAGCGTCGGCGCACGCGCGATCTGCTGCCGGCGCGTGACTGCCGCGTTGGCCGCATCATGGCCGCATCGCGAGGCCACGCGATAAGAAATTACTCCCAAGCGTGAAACAGACTGCACCTTAAACAGAAATTTATTAGGATGATGAGGACGACCATGCCTGAGAAAGGATGGACGGAGCTGTTTGCAGTGTGTTCGCACCAGCAAAGACAATACCAGCTAAGCTACCACTCAGCATAATTATGACCTCATTACATTGGAATAGTGCCTTGTACAGGTGCTTTAAGGGAGTTATAAATACTATAAGCATTACAAACACTGTGCCCTGAAATTATTCTTTGAAGTTTGCTATCATTTGGTAAGCAAGACCCCGGAATTATTTCGACAATTCTTTTTTTTTTAGAAAAAGGATGCGCTCATAACTTATATGCAGTATTATATAGTGTCACTGTCTACGAAGAAAGGGTCACCTAATGCACGAGCAACCATTCAGTTATCAGCGGTGAAAACCTCCTCCTGCTCCCGGCGAGGTCAGTGTGGCTACGGAGGTGCCTCGAGTCCACTCCAGGGACTCCCGTTTTCTCAGTGCAGGCGGAGGAGCCGGCGGCAGGAGCCGGTCGGCGCCGGGCCGAAGCCCTCCCGAGAGCCCGCCCGTGCGAAGGCGTCAGCACATGCCGGGACTCGGCAGGCACGTGCAGCGCTGGCACCAGCAGCACGGACACGATCTGCGCGGGGGACAGCCCGAAGACGAAGTGGGCTGTGCTGGCCTTTTGTGCTGCAGGCTTCTGGACTTCTACTAGGCGACACAGCAGGGCCACCTCGTTGCGGACAGAGTGAACCTGCCTGTGCAAATGGTGCGGAGGTGTTGTGCGTGGAAAGACTCTTACACCTCGAGCCAACTTGTACTGAGACGAGCTTTGATTTCTTTCTTTAGTTTCTTCCTGAAAAAAAAAAAACTGTGTGTTCACAACGGGAGGCGAGCGTTACGGTGCGTGGGGACCTTCCTTGGTGAATTGCGATAACCATAACGTACAGTTCATAGCGTAACCGAAAAAAGGGCAGCATACGATGACGAGTTCGGGCACCCAAGTACTCAAACGCCTCTAGCGAGAGCAGCACCAGTAGTGGCGACATCGTGTAGCACTGTGATCAGTCTGAGGACTCCGCGATCAGCTCTGGCAGCTTCCGAAGCTAATCGGGGAGGCCACAATCACTTCGGTTGCGTTATTAGAGTCTCGGAGACCGGAACGATTCATGTGTGTAACCGTGTCTCGGCGATTACGGCGTTAGAAACCTTAGGTGCGGTCCATCGTTGTATCAAAAGAACAAAAGGACAGTCAAGTATGTCCTCGCCAAAATGTCTTTGCCGCTGCTGATACCAATACGTCATCACGCTAGGGAAATTCATACGATGAGTCGTTGCAATAATGCTTAATACTTTGTGACTTTCCTGAAACAAGACACGGGTGCCATAAGGTGTCACCAGAAGGGTTGCTCCTCGCGTGTACTTTTGTGTTTTCACAATTCATGACTGCGAAACCTTTTTCATAGGGGAACTGGTCACTGGTGTATCACATTGTCATCATTTAGAGAGGAAGAAAAGATTGAGGGAAAGCGTCACATGATTTTGCTAAAGCCTCTCCAAGCTAATCTCTTTTCGTGTATTCAAGCCGAACTATAGTCCTACGCTCAAATACAGCGTAATATATAAAAAAGACGTAAGCTTGCCTTCAGCATATGCAGATTTCGGTGCACGTTAATGATACCTAGGTGGTCAAAATTTCCAAATTCCTCCACTAAGGTGTTTGTCCTAAGCATATGGTGGTTTCGGGACGTTAAACACTGCAGATCATCATCAGCATTTCGCAGTCGCAACCAATGCAACGTGACCAATAGTAGCCCAGGCCTATCGCATAACTAAGGCTCATTTCTCCCTCAATTTTTTATGACGAGTCAACAGCATGGTCACGTGACGCTCGCTACCATTGTTTTTTTTTTTCTCTCCATGATCAACTATCAAGCTGTACATTGCTCCATAGCGGAACTCGTAGCTAGGCTAGTTGGTAATATTTAAGTAAACTAGACAGCGAACTACCACTCAGTGTTCTTCTAGTATTGTGGTTCGGCGTCCAGCTTATTGGAAATATTGCTGCTAGGTCTCAGCCAAAACTAATGATTGATTGATATGTGGGGTTTCACGTCCCAAAACCACCATATGATTATGAGAGACGCCGTAGTGGAAGGCTCCGGGAAATTTCGACCACCTGGGGTTCTTTAACGTGCACCCAAATCTGAGCAAACGGGCCTACAACAGCCAAAATTAGCGTCGCACTACCAGCACAGCCGACACACTTTCGCAGACGGAGCTCCTGAAAGCAGTAATGAATTTTTATTAAATTGTAAAGAAAAATAATGCGTTTTAACAGAAGCACTGTTTAGTAGCTAGCTGTGTCCCCAGAGTGTCTCCAGTGGCCACGCAGAACCACGTGACCCTTCATTCTGGGTCACGTGATCCTGTTAGCACCAATGTGTACAGTACAGCAGTATTGTTTTCAAGAAATGGATCTTCTAAGATAAGGAGTCGTAAGCAGCGCTATCGCTTCTACAAAAAGACATGTTGGTTAAACAGACACGACCCGATATTAAGTGAATGGCTAACGGTTTAACTGTGAACGCGTGTGTAATACAGTAGCGACAAGTCTCGAAATGTATGAAGTGAAGGCGGCAAAGTAGGTAATGTTCTAGCAGAGCCATTGCAACTAATTTCAACGTTATTTTTTTTTGAAACAAGAGGCATGTTCCTTAGATCGTGGTGGTTCTTTTTTTTTTTAAGAACACCGTCAATTGGGACCGGGTACTAACATTACTTATGCAACCAGCATAACGTACGAACGTCCTCCTCCATCCTGAAATATCTTTCAAGTGAAATTAACACACTGAGTCAAACAACACTGCTTGCCTACTACCAAAGACGCTCCTGCATGTGCTAAATGGTTGATTGTAAATTGTGCGCACAGAGCAGTGTTTCATATCTTCATCACTTGCACTTCAAGTTTCATTCTGTAGATATTCATAACGTAACAATACTGCTCGCATTTCATTATCTCCCTAGTAGCGGGTTTTCATTACAAGCTACATCCTATTACATGTGTTCATTACCAACAGAAGCCATAACTCAGCGTAACTCAATGAACATGATTCCGAAGAAAAACTTTCATTTTGTTCGTTTTCCATGCATTTGCATGGGAGAAATCAGCTGCTGTCGGCAAACAAAAACTGTTAACATTACAATTTGTTTCTGGGTCTGATTACTTGGAACCTAATAATGTGTAATGGAAACTCGGTACAACAGGCAGTACGACCAGACGCTGTTTCGCGTAATGACCTTGCTTCAGGTCCTTTAACTTTCAGTTACACTAAATAACAAAAATAAGAGGAGTCAATTTTTTTTTATTATCAATCTTAAGGGAGTTCAATAAGGCAACCCGACGCACAGCGCCACCTACAACAGTCCATTCTACTGAACACAACACGAACTAAAGCGCCGTCGGACGAAATGCGCGACCCGAAAGTCGTCTTCAGGAAAACCTGCCATCTCCGGGAACGTAGTAGCGAGAGAGACTTCTAAACCCTCGGCATACCATGATCTCCACAACTACCCAAGCCGAAACCAAGCCAAGACAAGACAACGTGCCACTTCGACTGCCTACAGTGAACACAACTAACTCTGTCAGCGAAGCTCCGTGCGAACTCGTATGTGCTCGGAAGAGTGTGTGCACGTGACTGGTGTTGTATACAGTTTATCTGGCCCGCTTGTTTTGTATATCATATAGACCTGTTGCATGTCTGTAAACCGGGCTAGGCGCCGTCTACATAGTGAGGCGTCTGCAGCGACGTCCCGGCACGTAGGCTCCGCCCAGCCCAAAGCTCGCTACCTCCCTCAATGTTCAAGTCACAACTAGCACAGCGGCTGCAACGCTGCCTCTGAGCACAGCGCGTCGGGGAGCCTCCCACGCGATCTCGGAGACAGCTTTGCAGGTGCTGTGCCAGTTGTTGGGGGACAATAGAGGGCAGTAGTGAGCCTTGGAGGAGCCTACGTACCGTGACGTCGGTGCAAGCGCCTCACTATGTAGACGGCGCCTACTCCCCGTTACAAACGTGCAACACGTCACTACCATGTGTGTTGTTTCCATAGCGTCCACAACCAGTAAGGTGGTCAAACACTTTTTTTTTGGTACACGCTCGCTCTTTTCGAGTCCTCCCTGTGACGAAGTTTTTAGACACGCGTTGTCTATTGTGTAAGCGTGAATTCAGCGCCATGTTGGTGGAGAGAAGGGTCGTAATAATATCAAAAACAAAAACAACCACAAACGGGGTGCCTGACGATCCGCACGTGCGGCTCCCCGCTCTGTTGTTCATTTGTAACGTGTTACATTAAAAAGTGTTATTTTTATCCATGATCTCACGTCTGATCATTGTAGACTCATTGTCGGTGCAGGTCCTCTCATCTGGAGGAGGAAGTGAGACGCACGGAGGGATGGATGGAAAATGCTTTATTTTGTCAGAAAGCAGTTGCGGATACCGTGCTGGATAGCCATTGGCCCAACGTTGACGGCGACCTAGGCGGGCCGCTCCACCGCCGTTGGGACTGGGTCTGAACTGGATAACACCGCCTCCCAAGAAAGACTATCATCTTCTTTCTTGGGAGGTGGTACCAAGCAGAAATTCGGTCCGGGTGCCCGCATGTTTACGTCTGTCGGTGGCACAATTCAGCCACCCAGCAAGAGTTTAAGCCAATTATCAACGCCCAGCCATCTTGATCAGGTGGCTGAGTTCATACTTGTGAACATGGTCGATCAAAAACCAAGTTTACGCATATCTGAGGCGCAGCATCAATACATAAGTATTAGGCAGTGTGTTTCTTACGTTGCGCTGATAATGCGACGCTAGGAACAAAAAAAAAGCGGTTTTCTTCGCTTCACTAGAAAACATAGTGCTGCCACCTACAAGTGGCTCTGCGTCCTACACAAGCTTTCGTTTCCCCGACATTACTGACAGATGGCGGCGTCCATATCTCACGCATCGCCTCCGGACAGAAGACTATATATTCTTTCGACATTTGCAGTGAAGCACGCAGACAAGCGCCCAATTTTTCTTCCCTTCTTTTTTACGATCGGAGACGGCCGAAGGCCTTTGATAAGTTGCATTCCAATGACAGGCTTACTCCTCATCTTTACTCCTGAAGATGTCGGGTACCAAAGGCAGGTCATCGCCTGAAGCATGTCATCGCTTCATTCCAATTTTTTTCCTTCCCCTTCCCCTTTTCTTAATGGTCATTAGGGAAAATCAGAAGTAAGCGGCTAGACAAACAAGACAGACTCAGAGGAAGAAAAGACGAGAACATTCGGGGAAAACCATTGGGGAAGAAGGGAAGGACCCCGCGCCTATAGGCTTATAGATGCTGCACAGCCGGTCTTACAAGAGCATCAAAAACGTGGATAACGAGTGTAAGGAGTATCCATATAGCGGCCATATCTCACATAACAAAAATGAAAAAGTATAATAAAAAAGGTAAACCACAGCTTAATGAAACCAACTACTTAAAGTATGTCGTCATGTGGTGCTCGTTACAATATTCTTTATTTTATGCTTAATCAGTTAAGTTAGATCGGTTATGCGAAACATTTAGTATTCACTATGTGAGTTTTGTTATACGTTGTAGAGAGCATTCCATAACGAGTGATCCAATTTTTTGTGGCAACGTGTATGTGTTGAAGTTTCGCGGCACTTGAAACGACTTCCCATAATACACATTGGCCTATCTACGCCGAGACGTTCAACGAATATTTTACAAATTTCGTATAAGACGCGACGTAAACTAAAGGTCATAAAATGTCGAATTT